ACCTATGTTATATATGATTATATGGGATAGATGATATAGTACATATGTAATATATACAATGTATATTATATACAATATATAGTCATATATCATATTTGTGTGTATCGTGTGTGTGTGTGTGTGTGTGTGTGTGTGTGTGTAGAGAGAGAGGTTTTTGTTTTTGTTTTTGTTTTTTTGTCTATAGAGAGTTGAACTAAGCTACTCGATGGTACTTCCTCCACATCAGTTTTGTTTGGTCAAGCAGCCTAGAAGAACAGATTAGAGAGGCACCTGGGTGGTTCAGTCCATTAATCGTTTGCCTTCAGCTCAGGTCATAATCCCAGGGTCCCACATTGGGCTCCCTAATCAGAGGGGAGTCTGCTGCTCCCTAATCAGAGGGGAGTCTGCTTCTCCCTCTGCCTCTGCACCTCCCCCTTGCTTGTACACTCTCTCTCATGCTCTCTCTCTCTCTCAAATGAATAAATAAAATACTTTAAAAAAAAAGAACAGATTAGATTACATTGTCCCATTTGTTACTTTTGATGACTACTCCTTTCATTTAGATAATCCCATTACTCACAGTTATAACTGACCTTGCAAAACATTAAAACTATTAATCTGTAGTCTATAAATGCAGAAAATATTGACTTGAAATAAATGCATTGTATTTGCAATTATCTCATTGTTTGGATTTAGAAAGAAGTTATATGAATTGGTTGAAAATACATATGCAGACCTCTATGGTATTATACAGTTGATGCAGTCTGCATTACAGCAAGTAGAAAGCAAAAATAGAAAAATTCTAAGCTAGAGAATTTCTTTGTTCCAGCTTTAGATTATCTTTTTCACATATCTCAAATGCCTTTTCCCATAACTCCAAAAAAGATTGATATTTTAGGGATTCTTCAATGGCTACTGGGAGATTATTTCACAGTCTTAATTAAAGATATAGTCAATAATTAATTTTATATTGGTGCTGCCTAAATATTCCTTTCTAGTGTCACATACCTGGGCTAGTTCCACAGACCATTCTAAGATCTCTCTTACGATGTGGAATATTGTCTCAGAAACAGATATTCTTAATCTTATTTGTGATATTGCTACATTAATCAATTCCTCATCTATCTTCACTCCCCAAATTAGGCAGATGAAGTTTCATTGAGTAAATACAAAAGTGACAATAAAATATGACCTTGGGTTAAATAATGATGTCTTAGATAAGATACCACATTAATAACAATGGCATCCTCCCTCCCCCAGGAGAGTATTAAATTTAAAGACAATGGACAATTTCAATTCAATTGACTTACAATTCAGTTTAAGTCAAATACTACCTTGTCCACCAGTTATTTGATGTATTTTATATGTTGCATAAATGTCACTTCTTCATGCACTTTGGCATTCCAAAAAAAAGTCATATTATTTTCTTTAATTAGGTCTAGCTTGGATCTTCTTTTGGTAAGATATGGACAGTCTTAAGTACCCCAAACTACTCTTTTCAGTACAAATACTTTTGGTACAAGAGCAACTTTGATCTTAAACAGAAGGAAAACTTCAGGAGGCTTTCAGTGCTCAGTACTTACTGTTACTAAGCCAAGTGTTCATATTCCCGTGAACACCTAGAAAGCATTCATTCAGCTACAACCAAGCCATACTCCCTAGCCACAAGCCACACTTCCTGTATTTTACAGGTTCTGTCATTTTTTAATGGTATCACTAAACTACAGACTACCAACTATCTCCTTCTTTGGTGGAATATCCACTGTCTATATTTGCTCCTGCTTTCTCATCTCAAGGCATAGCAGCTCTGTCTCTCCTTACTCTCTGCCTACTATTCAGGACTTCCAGAACTGTCTTTCTAATTTTTTAATACCCTCCAACTCCAAGACAGAAGAGGCATTGCCTTTAGTAAACTAATGTATTGAGAGCTAGAAAATTACTGAGACATGGTAAAAGGGGGAAAAAAAAAAAAAAAGGAGCTAGCTACCTCCTTGGAATAGAAGATGAAAAATATACAGAGCCAAACATAAATCGCTCTTACTCTTTTAGGCAAATTAGCATCTTAGTAAATGAGCCTAGTGCGTAGCTAATACTTCTGTGTTAAATTCACAACACTGCTGGAGGAAATAATGGTTCTTATGGATTCACCTAAGATAATTTTTACAGATTTACTTCTGCCCCTCGAACAGAGAGTTTGAAAATTTAATCCTAGAATTCAGAATCATGGACCTACCACTCTCCTTGAGAGATTCACTTAGTAATGTAATGTTTTTAAGACTTAATTTTATGGGATGCTTGGGTGGCTCAGTTGGTTAAGTGTTTGCCTTTGGCCCAGATCATGATCCCAGGGTCCAGGGATCAAGCCTAAATTTGAGGGTGGGGGGTGGGATTCCTGCTCAGTGGGGAGCCTATTTCTGCCTTTCCCACTCCCCCTGCTTGTGCTCTCTTTCTCGCTGTCAGATAAATAAATAAAATCTTTAAAAAAAGACTTAATTTACTTCTCAAAATGGTTAATGATTAGTACTCATAATTTTATTGTGATGTATGGACCATGTTATGAATTTGTCAAATTAACATTTATTAAGTGAAGCACAGGGCACCTCATGGTAAGCCAAAGTTCAGCAATAGACCACAAGAAAAATTGAAATAAAGAAGTTTATTACCCACAGGTCCTGGAGGAAGTACCCAGAATGCCTAGAGGAGCCATACAGGGTGGTCAGGACAGAGTGCAGACAGAGAGGGAGATTGGAGCTGGGGCACAACCTTCATTAGGCTCCATGTATGGAGTATTTTGGTTCCCTGGCTAAAACTCAGCTGGTCATTTCAAATCCAAAAAGCAGATTTTGGAAAGCTATATGAAAGTTTAATCTAAGGGGTGCATATGAAAGGTATTAGGAAGCAGAGGAGACTGCTGACCACAGGGCTGTTAGGGAAGTCTGATCAGGAACTGTGACTCAGTAGGGCATGGGCTTGCATGAAGGGCTGGTGTCATCTCTTACACTCAAAAATAAAAAGACAAACAACAATTCAAAAATGAGTGAAGGATGGGTGCCTGGGTGGCTTAGCAGGTTAAAGCCTCTGCCTTCAGCTCAGGTCACGATCCCAGGGTCCTGGGATAGAGCCCCACATTGGGCTCTCTGCTCGCCTTTCTGCCTACTTGTGATCTCTGTCTGTCAAATAATAAATAAAATCTTTTAAAAAAATGAGTGAAGGATTTAAATAGACATTTTTCCAAAGAAGATACAGAAATGCTCATTAAGCATATGAAAAAAAAATGCTCAACACCATTTGTCATTAGGGAAATGCAAAATCAAAACCATGTCATACTACTTCAGATCCACTAGAATACATACCAGAAAAAAGACAGATGGTAAGTAAAAAGTATTGGCAAAGATTTAGGGAAACTGGAACCTTCATGCATGTGCTTGTGGGCATATAAAGTGAAAATACTTTGGAAACACGTTGGCAGTTCCTCAAATGTTAAACATAGAATTACCATGGAGCCACTCCTAGGTATATACTAAAGAGACAGGAAAATAAATATCCACTCAAAAATTTGCACATAGACATTTACAGTAGTTTTGGTTAACAAAAACAAAATTCCTTTGTTTTTTTGCTGGGATAGATGCTTCTATTACCTCTCTTAATACTGTGGGGAATAAAACAAAATAAAACTGGTTTTGAAGCAAAACCAGTTGCCTTAGTCATATTTTTCTAATGTGCTGTAATTTCTCTAAGATAATGAAAGGTAGCTGTCATGAAGTAAACTGAGACTTTTCCCACACCTCTAAGATCTTCAAACATAGGAAGCATTATATAAAATGAAACACATAAGAGGAATTTATTTATTTAAAATAATTATGCAACTTTATTTTGTGTCCTTTGTTATTTTACATAAGTATCTAGAAGATCCTAATATTTGTATAAAATTGCATATAATTTGCATAGACTTGATGGATTTAGGCAATTGGTTCCTTACAATTACCCAGTTTGGCTTCTAGATGGAACTTTGCATATATTACACACTCCATTGTGCTTTGAGAGTTGCCATTATTTTACCTGGACATGGCTAATGGGGTTAGCCAATGAAAAATATTACCTTCTTATCTTACATTTATTGTAATTATTTTATTTGTAACTTATTAATGTTAAGATAAAGCTGACTTTTTTTAGTAATGTAAAAATCATTTGAAAGTATAGTTGCTTAGAAACTTCACTTAGTTTAATGTTTTCTCATATTTAAATTGTTTCTATTATTTCAGAGATATGGGTTTATAATATATGATAGAGAAACAGAATTGTGTGCCATAAAGAAAATTCAACCTGGAGTAGGATGACTTTCGTTTACTTTAGCAAGTCATTTACATTTCTTCTTGTTTGTTTCCTTTCCTTTTCTTACTTAGAAATGAGGTAAACTATACATGCTAAAAAATGGAAACATCTTACGTGTACTATTTGGTGAATACAATCATGTATGCAGAACCCAGATTTAAAAATGGAATATAACTAGCATCCTAGAAGCTACTCTGTGCCTCCTCAGTGTTCCTCCAAGGGACTGCTAATATTCTGGTTTCTGACATGATCCATGCTTTCAACCTGCTTTGATACTAATTAAATTGAAATAAAAGAGTATTCTCTGGGGCAGCTGGGTGGCTCAGTGGGTTAAAGCCTCTGCCTTCAGCTCAGGTCATGATCCCAGGATCCTGGGATGGAGCCCACCATATCCAGTTCTCTGCTCAGCGGGGAGCCTGCTTCCTCCTCTCTCTCCTCCTGCCTCTCTGCCTCCTTGTGATCTCTGTCTGTCAAATAAATAAATAAAATCTTAAAAAAAAAAGTATTCTCTCACTGAAAATATTTAAAGTTATCCTTTTATATTGGTATGTAGTGTGCCATTTAGCAAATGTACCATGATTTATTTTATTCATTTACTGTTGTAGAAATCTGACTGGGCTTCCTATTTGGGGCTTATGAATACTGTTGGTATAGCATTTTAGTACATGTCTTTGGAGAATATATGTACACATTTATTTATTGTATTTACTAAGAATGGGATTTCTGGATCAAAGTACATGCACATGTTCTGCTTTGGTTGATAGAATTTTTTTTTTTTTTCCAAGTAGTTTCTCAAAGGGCTGGACCAGCAGCACGAGAGTTTCAGTTGTTATACATTCTAGTCAACATGTGATATTTGCAATTTCATTACAATATATTTCATTTAGTCATTCTGATGGGTATGTGGTATGATTACATTGTTGTTTTAATTTATATTGTCATTTTTGAAAGTAGGATCCACACCCAGCATGGAGCCCAAACTGGGGCTTAAACTCATGACCCTGAGATCAAGACCTGAGCTGAGAGCAAGTGTCAGGAATTTAACTGACTGAGTCACCCAAATGCCCCTGCATTTTCTTGATAATGAGGAAGTTGACCGCATTTTCATAAATTTCTTGACCATTTATATTTCCTGTTTTGTGAAAACCGTGTTCAAATCTTTTTTTAAGTTGGATTTTCTAATGTTTCTGTCTCACTTAACATAAACAAAAAGAGAAAAAGAACTCCATCGTGCTTTAAATTCCCTCCAATTTCTATCACTTTCTAACCTGTAGACGAGCTTAGTATAGTTTAGTTCTTTAGTATAGCTTTGCTTAGATCTCTTTGGCAATTAACAGTCTTATTTTAGAACTTGCCCCAGGAGTTTACTCTATGTATTTTCTTTTAATTAATTAATGCTAAATTTATCCCATGTCTACTCAGTTTTTTATATTCTCCCCTCTTTAGAAGAAAGGAAGGGATAAATACCCAGCCAAGCAATTGCAGGGTCATAAGGTAGTTCTATTTTTAATTTCTTTAGGAATCTCCATACAGTTTTCCAAAGTGGCTGCACCAACTTGCATTCCCACCGACAGTGTAAGAGTGTTCCCTTTTCTCCACAGCCTCTCCAACATTTGTTTACTGTCTTGTTAATTTTGGCCATTCTAGCTGGTGTAAGGTCGTATCTCAATGTGTGTTGGGGGAAATTGGAGGGGGAGACAAACCATGACAGACTGTGGATTCTGAGAAACAAACTGAGGGTTTTGGAGGGGCGGGGTAAAGGGCTGGGTGAGCCTGGTGGTGGATATTAAGGAAGGCACGTATTGCATGGAGCAGTGGATGTGTTGCATAAACAATGAATTTTGGAACACTGAAAAGAAATAAAATAAAATAAAATAAAAAAAAAAAAGAAGAAAGGAAGGGAATCTTTTACTTCAGCTTAGAATCCTGTGTTAAACCATCTCTGACATATGTGCGTTTTTTATTTGTTTCTTTCTTTCTTTCTTTTTTTTTTTTTTCCATTACTGATCTCATTTAGATTCTATTTTGAAGATGGGGAGAGTTTAAAAGGCAGAAAAAGAGTGAATTCCAAGTAAAGAGAAGAGTATATGCAAACCTGTAGAAGCATGTTGTTTTACTGAGGAAGCTCACATTTTGACAGAAAGTAATAGATAAGGTTTAAAGGTCAGGAAACAAGCTGGTTCTTAAATCTTGTATTTCTAATACATGCAGTTGATTTTCTGCTTATTTACAGAAATGAAAGAGAGAGAGAGAGAAGGAGGGAGAGAGGGAGGAAGGAAGGAGAAAGGAAAGAAGGAAGGAAGGAGAAAGAGAGAAAAAAAGAGAGTCAGAGGGGAGCAGGGAGAGGGGTCTTTTTCTTTGTGAAGCACACACAGACAAATCACTCTTTCCTCTAAGGTGAGAGAAGGCATTTTGGGGCTTGTGTTTTTGGTAACATTGGACAAGTTTATTTAAATTTACTCAACTGTATCAGTTTTCTAGGGCTGCTGCACAAAGTACGAGAAACAGAGGCTTAAACAACAGAAATGCATTTTCTCCCAGTTCTGGAGGCTGGAAATCTACCAAGGTGACAGCAGGGTTTGTTCCTTCTGAGGGCTATGGAGAAGAATCTGCTCCAGGCCCCTTCCCTCACCTCTGGTGGCTTCTTGGACATTTTGTGGGGTTTCTTGGCTTATAGAAAGCATCACGGTGGTCTCTGCCTTCATCCTCACATGACTTTCCTCTAGTGTGTGTCTGTGTCTAAATTTTGCCTCCTTATAAGGCATTAGTCATATTGGATGAGGGCCAGCACTACTCCAGTATGACCTCATTCTAATTTAATTATATATGCAAAGGCCCTATTTCCAAATAAGGTCCCATTCTGAAGTAGTGGGGGTAGGACTTCAACATATGAATTTCTGGAAGAAATAATTAAACCCATAACATCACATATTGAAAACAACTGAAAATTTTGAATGAAATATTTTGTTAAATATCTTCCTTAAATGGATTGAAAATAAGTATGTTTATTTCTGTATTGGTATAATATAAATGTATATGTGTAAATATATGTATGGAAATTAATGCATATGTATTTACACATATTTACATGGATTGAAGAGCTAACAAAACAGGAAGAAACCATGAAACCAAAAATTTTTTTTTTAAGTGGCAATTTGCAGGGTGCCTGTGTGGCTCAGTAGGTTAAAACATCTGCCTTCAGCTCAGGTCATCATCTCCGGGTCCTGGGATGGAACCCTACATCAGGTTCTCTGCTCAGTGTGGAGTCTGCTTCTCTCTCTCACTCCCTCTGTGCTCTTTCTCTCTTAAATAAATAAACAAAATCTTTTTTAAAATGTGGCAATCCAGAGAGGTAAGGAGTCCCTCAGAGGAATTAAGGAAGCTGGCTATGACATTTACTCATCAGGTAAATCCGAGCTTTTGTCATTTAGGTCTCTGAAGACAAAAAGGCTAAAATAGAGACCCAGAGTTTACCCATAGTGGTATATCTTGTAAAATCCCTCCCCATTTTAAACTGTGACCCATATCACTCTACCCACTAGAACACTTTTCGGAAGGTTTCCTTGCCAATGATTAGAGCAGAATGAACAAAAGAAAGGAAGAGCAACAATTAAAAAAGATGAAGTGAGAATTAGTCACAAGTTTCAATTGGTTAAAACCTCACATCGGTTTCTGACCCAGATTTATATCACCTGCAGAGTACGTGAAACGTGTCAATTTTGGTTTATGATGCTCTTGACTTGACAGAATTTATAGGACTGCAAATAGCAACCATACATTTTTTTTCTAACAGAAATTAGCATTTCCCAGGCTTCCAAAAGTCTGTAAAAGTAATTTTTCAACAGTAAGAAGAGGTATGCAATCAGAATTATCTCAATATGCAAAGAAACAAAGCCAAATAGGTAAAAATCAGCAACAATAACATCAGAAACTGACTCAGACAAACTTCAGATAATTGAAATTATCAGAGACAGATTATGAAATAACTGTGTTTACAAAGCTCGGGAGTTATAAATAAGCTTGAAAATGTCTCAGAGGATAAAAAAATATTAAACATTATCTCAGATTTTTTAAAAATCAAAAAGAATTTTAGACATCAAGCATTCAATAATAAAAATTGAAAGCTTAAGGGGGAGGATTATCATCATATTAGACTTGGTCAATGGAACTCAATGTTAGATCCCTACATTTATTTAGATCTGGAAATTTCACAGGGAGGTTAAAATGAGGACTAAAATATGTTTACTCAGCCACAAAAAATGAAATCTTGCCATTTGCAATAACATGGATGGATTTAGAAGGCATACTATTTAATGAAGTAGGTCAGTCAGAGAAAGACAGATGCTATATGGTTTCATTCACATGTGAAATTTAAGAAACAAGAAAGACAAAGAAAAAAAGAGACAAGCAAAAAAGCCAGACTCTAAACTACAGAGAACAAACTGGTGGTTACCAAAGGGGGGGTAGGTGAAGGATGGGTGAAATAGGCGAAGGGAATTAAGAATCACTTATCATGATGAGCACTGAGTAATGCATAGAATTGTTCAATTATGATTTTGTACACCTGAACTAATACAACATTGTGTGTTATTTATACTGGAATATTAAAAAATAATAAAAATAAAGTGAAAACACTTTCAAATAAAAACAAAAAACACTGAACTAGAAAAAAAATACGTTTATGCATCATTAAGAAGGAGAGGAGGGAGAAAAGGAGACAGTCAATATGTAAAGGGATAATTCCTGATAATTTCCTGTACTGTTAATAACACTAATTCAGGAAGCCTAACACATTTTTAAGACTAATTTTTAATAAGACTTTACTTATTTGGGAAAGAGAGAGAGAGAATACACAAGTAGGGGGAGGGAGAGAGGGAAGAGCAGGCTGGGATCATGACCTGAGCTGAACGCAGATGTTTAACCAACTGAGTCATGCAAGCAGCCTTAGATTTTTTTTTTTTTTTTAATGAACCTCACATTTGGACACTGCTTAGTGAAACTTTAAAGTGTCAAAATTTTTAAAAAAAATCTTAAAATTAACTACAGGACAAAAAATTATCTCACAAAGGTACAGTGCAATGGCATCTTCAATGTGCAGGAAAGAGGGGCAGAGGACTGGTGTCCTAGAAGTCTGTAATAAGCAAAAATATCTTTTAATAATGTCAATAATTGAATATATTTTCAAGCAAATACATAGTTCAGTATGGGTCTGGTGGAAAGCAGATGATTATAGATAGAAGGGTTAAGAAGGAAGAAAAAAATGAAGATCGAAGAAAATAGCAAACATTTTGATAAATATAAATAAATAACGTCTGCACAAACCTAAGTCAACATGCATATTAGAGTTAAAAAATCAATGCAGAATAAAAAAAAAAAAACACAATGAAAACATAAACGCTGGAAGTTGGTTCCTATATTGCAGTCCAGATAACAATCAGCAAAAGGACAGGGTTAACAAGAAACTTTTAATTTAATATGGACGCTATAATTTGTAGTGCATTCATGAAAAAAAAGGAAAAATACCATACATTCTTAATAAGTAGACACCTATATCTTATGATCCACCAGTTCTGTTTTTGTTTTTTTTTAAAGATTTTATTCATGACAGAGAGAGAGAGTAAGAGAAGGAACACAACCATGGGAGAGCTGGAGAGAAACAGGCTCTCTGCTGAGAAGGGAGCCCCATATGGGGCTCCATCCCAGGACACTGGGATCATGACCTGGGCCAAAGACAGATGCTTAACAACTGAGCCACCCAGGTGCCCAAACAGTTCAATTTTTAAGAATATATCCAAGGGAACTGGATACCTGGCACCAAGAAACAAGAATGTTTATTGTAGCATCATTCAGAAGAGCCTTGATCTTGAAATAATTCAACTTTGTGTCAACCCTTGTCAGTTAAATAAATAACAGTATAGTCTAAAATGTAGTTCTATACAGCATTGAAAATAACAAACCTTATTTACATGTAGAAGTACAGATGAATCCTACAAATTTTGAATGAAGATATACAGAGCTTTTAAGGTCTTTGATCTTATTTATATAATGTTCCAAAAATGAACAAAAGCAAATTATGCTGTTTAAAGATGCATAGGTGATAGCAAAACTATAAAGGAATGCAATAGACTAATTACCATAAAGTTATTATAATAGGTAGTTCTGGGAAGAGGGCTTTATGGATTGGTATTTGGAGTAGGATACGTGATTTTATTTCTTGACATGAGTGATGGTTGTATGGGTGTTGATGTTACAATTATCCATTAAGGGTTATGCTTTTCTGAGTATATTTTATATATCATAGAAAACAAAGATTTAATATGAATGTATATTGGGGATACTGAAGGCAAATTATTATAACTAGAATCACAGAATCAGGAATTTGAATGATTATGTTTAAAAGATTTTTTCATATTAGATAGTGAAGTCCCAATATGTCAGCTTTTAGTTTGCATTTACCTTGAATTAGCTAGCAACATTAACTAGTGATTTATGTTTTATATATTCATGTTTATATATTTTCAACAGTGTTGATAATGATGTTAAGAATCAATACTATGTACATTACTATAGATGAGGAAATTGAAAAATATGAATAGATTTTCTCAAGAAAACAAAGTCAGTGAGTTGCAACTTTATGTGTTTTTTTTCCCCTCTGGCTTTAAATCTAGTTTTCTTTCAGTGAAAGAACTTGCATTTTGTTGGTGCTTCATTAATGCATTATGAACTGTTATCCTACTAACAGAAAATAAAATAAAGAGATCAATCTAATTACATAATCTTCTTTTTTAAATTTTATTTTATTTAAATTCAATTAATGCAGAGTATAGCATCAGTTTAGAGGTAGAGTTAATCACATAATCTTCTACATAGTATGTGCTCTCGGTTTTTCCCTCCAATATATACTTTCCTGGGAAAATTATGTATTTCTAAATTTTTTCTTAAGTAATAAAAGTATATAGTTAAATTTCCAAAGAGATCTGAGTTCTTCTGGTCAAACTGGAAAAGATTCTGAAGTGCGCCTGGATGGCACATGTGGTTTTGTGCATCACTATGACTATCCAACAGCAAATAAAATCTTTACCACAGGATTATGATTATTCAGGGTTTCTTTAGGATTCCTTTTCTGAAATTGTCTGCAAACAAATCAGAATACATTATGCAATTCTATCCAATATGAGCTTGCTGCCATTTAACCATTCAACTCAACCATAATTTGACCAAGAATGAATACTTCTTTCATATTTAATTAGACAGTTAAAATAGAGAGAGTCATTTTTACTCACCAATTATTGACTCTAGCTAGGCAGAATAATGGCAAATTGTGATGCTAAAGATTTATTTCCTAGTGATAACTACAAATTTGAAGATACAGTATGCCTATACACAAAAATTCAAATGCTCCTGTTATGAAAACATCTTCAAGAAAATCAAACATGCTTTGATTAGACAGTTCACGTTATCTTCATGCTAATGTACAAAGATTTCCCCAAGGATTCCAGTCTGATTGCTACCTAAATATTTTATGACACTTGGATTGATGAGGTTGTTTCAAAGCATGATTATTCAAATTACTTTGGTTTTGTCCAATAACTGAATAGTGAATTAATTATCATGTCATTTATAGAACTTCTTTCACAAATGCTTCAGTTTTCTTAGCTGTTTTTATGTATCATGTGGAGAGGTAGAAAGAGAAATATATGAAAGAATTTCTTATTTCAGGAGATTGTTGGTTTTTATTTTTTTATTCTTTAAAATATTTATTTATTTATTTGAGAGAGAGAGAGAGAGCTGGTGGGGTGAGGGGCAGAGGGAGAAGCGGGATTGGGAAGCCGGAACTTGGATGGTGTTCAATCCCAGGGCCCAAAGGTCATGACCTGAGCCAAAGACAAACGCTTAACCGATGAGCAACCCAGGTACCCCAGGAAACTGTCAGTTTTTAATTATGAAATTTGATGCTGAATTTCTGAACTGAAGTTCAATATTTTGATAAAATATTATGAACTGATACAAACAGAATGCATGTTACATTTTTATTTTTTCCCCCCTTTTTACCTATTCTCCTAAAGAGTCCTGGTAACATCCCAGATAAAAAGTAGCAAATCATCTATCACTGGCATTCTAGAAGTAATTTCGATAATGATTAAAGAAATAGGAGCCAGATGAATTGTGCTCTTTTGCCAAAAATGCAGTTAGCTATGAAAGCAGTGCCTGGAATACATAAAGGTAGAGAAGGGTTCTTGTCAGCCATCCCATGCAATTACACCAGGGTGACAGACTCCTAGCTGAGTCAACAGGCACACTGCATGAGAACAAACTCAGATTATTTATCCAGAGCTGTGTGAGTGTTAAATTGGGAAAAGTTGAGCCTTGGGAAAACTGTAGACAAGGAAAGGCTTTTTGGTTAAACTTCCTCTTTGGAGAAGAGCAAATGCAATTTATGTTCATTTTGGCAAATACAATCAAGTTGTGATGTTCAGAGTAGGTGTGTTCAAGGAAAGATATTTATACTAAAGCAGGAACTCTTTGCAGCATTATGAATAGCCAAAGAGTAATAATGGTGCTCTTTTTCTGTTCATGTATGATTAAAACTTTTCTTCAGTTTTGAGTTGCAAGAGACAGATTCTTGCTGGCCTCTTCTTCATTAAAACTAAGGAGCTGTACTTTGGCACATGAATGGTTTCTTCTGCACATTAATTATAATGTAAATGTGTAAAATCTAAAAAGAGAAGAGAAAAAGACTTTAGGGAGAAGATATGCTTGCTTTAGATATATGGAAGTTTATCACAGAAATCCATTTCGGAGGTTTTGTTTTGGTTTGTTTTTGCTTTGCTAATTAATTATTTTCCTCTGTTAGAGGCATTAAACATTGTAATTACAGAACTTCCTAGATAGACCCTCATTTCTTCATTCTCCAACCTTTTTGTGACAGCCACATCACAGAAAAGACTTATTTGTGCTAAAGCAGGTGAATTATTTTCTTTACATTAATTTTCCAGAGTAATTTTTTGGTAGATGTAATTTTTTATTGGTAGTTAAGTGTATAAATCTCAGGGTATTATTAAAGTACAGATTTAGGCAATCGTGTTAAGAACAGAAAATATACTTTTTCCTTTGTAAATTTAAGAAGGTGCTAATGTGTATCTCCTGAGGTCAGATAAGAGACATAACTGTGGCTTCTCTCTCAATTACTCTTCCCACAAATGCTTCTGTGTTCTTACCCTGTCCCTCTTTCCACAGAATAGGGTACCTTTGGACTAAAAATATATTGTGCAGTTGATACTTCATCCTGCAATAATTTTTAAAATTATTTTTGTTCATTATCTTCTACCCAGCAAACTGAGGTCTGACCTCTTAGCTGAAGCAAAGAGCAACACACCACTGCAGGTAATTCTAGTAATGCCATTCAATAATACAAGTGGCTTAGGCAAAAGTTCACAAACTTTCTGAAAATTGTTTTACCTCTCTGA